GCCATGGAGTCAAAGTCTTGCACCAGTCCTTCGGTATACGAATGACTCCATGGGATGGCTGTCGGGGTAAAAGTCCATACGAATGAATAAAACTCCCGAACGACCGACGTTCGCATGCCTTGTCGAAAAGGAAGGTAGGCAGCAGCTTTTCGGCGGTGTTCGGTAGTTTAAGTGTCCGTTTTTAGTTCCATACAGTTTGTACCGAACACCGCTATGCGTTCGTATGTCCCAAAATGGCCGCTGCCTCGTGGTCGACATGCAAACGACGACCACCCGTACGAATGGAATGGAGAGGTCTCTGCGGTTAACCACAACGTTCTAATTGGGGCCAAGAGGTTAACCAGCAGCACACTCCTCTCCTGGGTGGTCGTTCGTTCGGTAGTTTCAATCGGTAGTTTGCAAATTACACGAACAGGGGTATACGAACAGGGAATCCAGCGAACAAAGGGAAACAGACGAACCAGCAATACAGATGAATCTGTCACACGGCTCCCCCCTTGTGGGACACTCCGGCAGACCCGGCTTGACCCTTTGGCGGGTCAACGAGGGGATGACCGGACTAAGATGGGGTGAGGATGTCGGTTTGCCTGGACAATCCATCTGCATTCCCATTCTGCTTACCGGGTCGATAACTGATGGTGAAGTTATATGGCTGTAGGGCTAAACTCCACCTCAGCAGTCTGCCATTGTCTCCAGAGACCCGGTTAAGCCAGACAAGGGGATTGTGGTCCGTCACAAGGGAAAATTCCTGTCCATATAAATACGGGCTTAGCTTCTTCAATGCCCACACCAGGGCCAAACATTCCTTCTCTACTGCCGCATAACTCACTTCTCTGGGTAACAACTTTCTGCTGAGATATGCGACAGGGTGCTCTCCTCCATCTTCCCCGACCTGGCTCAGCACAGCCCCCAGTCCATACATGGAAGCATCTGTATGGACGAGAAAACGTTTGTTAGGGACTGGGGCAGCCAGGACAGGGGCATTCACAAGAGCTTGTTTGAGTGCTTGGAAGACCACAGGACCTGCTTAGGAAGATTTTTCTTTGTCAGGTCAGTCAGGGGTTTAGCAATAGTGCTGTAGTCGGGGACAAAGCGTCTATAGTACCCTGCTGTCCCTAGGAAGGCTAACACCTGGGTCTTGGTGATAGGTGTGGGCCAGTTAGCAACTGCCTCTATCTTGGCTGGCTCTGGCCTCTGGCTCCCACACCCTACTCTGTGACCCAGGTACTGCACTTCAGCCATGCCTAAATGGCACTTCTCTGGTTTCAATGTCAGGCCAGCGGCCCGAATCTTGTCCAGTACTACCCCTACATGCACTAGGTGTTCTTCCCAGGACTCACTGTAGATCGCAATGTCATCCAGGTATGCACAAGCAAATTCCTGGAATCCATCAAGAAGTCTATCCACCATACGCTGGAAGGTAGCTGGGGCATTCTTCATCCCAAATGGCATGACCTTAAATTGGTACAGGCCAAATGGGGTGACGAAGGCCGACTTGGGGATAGCATCCTCGGCCAGGGGAATCTGCCAGTAGCCTTTGCACAGGTCTATGGTGGTCAGATAGCGTCCCCTGGCAATGCGATCTAGCAATTCGTCTACCCGGGGCATCGGGTAGGCGTCAGTGGTGGTCCGCTCATTGAGACGCCTGTAGTCCACACAGAACCGGGTGGTCCCATCCTTCTTGGGCACCAGGACTACAGGCGAGGCCCAAGGGCTATCGGAGTGTTCGATGACCCCCAGCTGGGTCATCTCCTGTATCTCCTTCCGCATTCCTTCCCGGACTGCTTCAGGGATACGGTAGGGGGGTTGTCGCAGAGGGTTCTGTCCAGGGGTTTCTACCTTGTGTACAGCTAGGGTAGTGTAACCAGGTTCTTGGGAGAAGGTCGCCTGCTTTTCCCACAGAAGCTGTCTGGCCTGGCCCTTCTCGGTAGCGCTCAATCTGTCCCCTAGCTGTACTAGGCTAGTAAGATCCGTCTGGGGGTCCCTCTCTAACAGGTCTGGCAAGGGTAAATTTTCTGTATCATCTGCAGCAGGGGCACATACTGCAGCGACATTCTCTGGTCTCTCCTGATACTCCTTTAGCATGTTCACATGGAAGGATCGCTGGATCCTTTCATCTGAACAGCTGGCTATAAGGTAGGTAGTATCACATATCTGTGCTAACACCTTATACGGGCCCTGCCAAGATGCCTGCATCTTGTTCGCCTTCACAGGTTTGAGTACTAACACTTTCTGCCCAACCTGGAAGACTCGCTGTCGGGCACCCCGATCGTACCACCTCTTCTGTCTCCCCTGAGCCACCTGGAGATTCTCCCTTACCATTAGGGACAGTTTCTCCATGCGGTCCCGGAGTTCCAGAACATATGGTACTATGGGGGTCCCTTCCTGCTCTGTCTCCCCCTCCCAGTGGCCTCTAATGAGATCTAGGGGTCCTCGGACCCTTCTCCCATATAGCAACTCAAAGGGGGAGAACCCAGTAGATTCCTGGGGCACCTCTCTGTAGGCAAACAACAGATGAGGCAGGAATCGCTCCCAGTCTCTGCAAGTGTCAGAAAAGGTCCTCAGCATCTGTTTGAGGGTGCCATTAAATCGCTCGCAGAGACCGTTAGTCTGTGGATGGTAAGGTGAGCTAAGCAGCGGTTTAATACCGCACACCTTCCACAGTTGCTGGGTGAGCACAGCGGTGAATTGGGTTCCCTGGTCAGAGAGAATCTCTTGAGGGAACCCGACTCTGGTAAAAATCCTAACCAGGGCATCAGCAACTGTCTCTGCCTCTATATTAGACAGCGCTACTGCCTCTGGATAGCGAGTGGCATAATCCACCACGGTGAGAATATATTTCTTACCGGATGGACTAGCCCTGGCCAGTGGACCCACAATGTCAATGGCTATGCGGGCAAAGGGCTCCCCAATGATAGGCATAGACATAAGCCTAGCTCTTGGGTGGTCCCCCCGCTTTCCTATCCGTTGACATGTGTCACACGTACTGCAGTATGTCCGCACAGCCTGATTGAAGTTTGGCCAAAAAAAGTTCTGCATGATCCTATAGGCTGTGCGGCGGGAACCTAGATGTCCAGCTAGCGGAACATCATGCCCTATCCGCAGAATCTCCTGCCGGTATTTCGCGGGCACCACCAGCTGTCGATTCGGCGGAGGGGCAACACTCTTCGGGGAAAGCTTGGGGATCCTATATAACCTGTCCCCCACCCACTCATACCGTTCCCCATCTAATCCTTCCTCTCCAGTATCTGCTCTGTCCCTATACTTCTGGAGGGTCGAATCTGTCTGAGTTTCCCTCCCAAACTCCTCTGGGGAATCCCAGTTAACAAAAGTCTGGTCTAGGGTACCAGTCGGGGACTCGGTCCTTACCTGGGTCTCAGCAGCAGGTGGGCTGGTTCCAGCAGCACGGGTCTGGGCACGGGTAGTCACTGGGTTGATAGCGGCAGGTCCCATTGGAGCATAAGCGGACACCAAAGGGGCCAAGTCATTCCCAAGTAAAACATCGGCCGGTAAGTCTTTCATGACCCCCACATTCACGTGTCCAGAGCCCACCCCCCAATCCAAGTGAACCCGGGCAACCGGTAAACGGAACACTGCACCTCCCGCCACCCTCACTGCCACAGTATCTCCAGTGTGTTGGTGTTCGGACACAAGGTTCTTTTGGAGCAAAGTCATAGTGGCTCCGGTGTCTCTCAGTCCAGTTACCGCTTTGCCATTTAGTTTAACGGTCTGCCTGTGCTGTTGACGGTTATCCTGCTGCGCTGCTTGGACCGGATCCGCCTCATGTAATATACACAAAATTCCTCCTGCTCCAGACAGTGAGCGGAAGGTTGGGGTGGCTGCTGATTTCCACCGGCTGGTCTTCTCCACGACTGTGCTTGGCTCGAATTGTTTAATGGGCACTCGGGTCGCTTGTGCCCCAACTGCTTACACCCATAGCAACGGATCGGCTGTGAGTAATCCCGGGCGTTGAACCGGGCTGGCTGAACGTAATTGTTCGCTGTTGGCATGGTGGGGGTGCGTTGTGCTGGGTGTTGATACACTGCAGAGGTTGGAGGGGCTGCTGGTTTGTACTCCACTCGGGTAGGGACCTTGGCTGCTGTCTGGTCCAGTTTCCTGGCGTCAGTGTACTCATCAGCCAGACGAGCAGCTTCGGGTAATGTAGCGGGTTTGCGGTCCCTAACCCACTCTCTGACTCCTACAGGTAAGCGGTCAAAACAGTGCTCCAACAAAAACACTTGCAGCACCTCTTCCCCAGTTACCGCTTGGCACCCTGCCATCCAGTGGGCTGCGGTGCGGTGTACTCGGCATGCCCACTCAACATAAGAATCACCAGCCTGCTTGTTAGTGTCCCGGAATCGCCGCCGGTATGCCTCCGGGGTCACAGCATATCTGGCCAAAAGGGCATCTTTCACTGCCCTGTAGCTGGTAAGTTCCTCCTCTGGGATGGCCCGAAACGCCTCACTGGCCCGGCCGGATAACTTCCCAGAGAGGATGGGGACCCATTCTCCTGCGGGTACCTGGTGTAAGGCACATTGCCTTTCAAAATCCGCCAGGAACCCATCGATTTCTCCTTCGGCTTCTACAAAGTTCCGAAATGCAGCAAAAGGTACTTTTCTCCTTCCATTATTATTATACGGTACCTCAGCTGCTGCAGCGCCTCTTCCTTGAAGCGCCTGTTGTGCTGCTACTGCCGCTTGTACTTGCACCACAATATCTGCTGCGGGGTTGGGGCCAAAATGTGCCAGCCTGATCTGAACTGCCGGTTAAACTGTATCTCCTCGGGTGTTAACTCCAGTATGCCAGGCACATTCGCTCCCCCCGCTCCCTGTGCTGCATCCATTTCCAATAGTATGGCAATAATCTCTCTTTTCTTGAGATTACTCGCTGATCGTCCTCTGCGCTCCAATATATCTTTAAGGGTAGCACGCCTTAACTCCTCATACTGCATTTCCAACCTGGGATGTGTAGCTGGCCTTCTGGGCTGTAGGATTCATCCCGTCGCTTGCCACCAATTGTTACGACACGTACCGTCGGGTAGATGAAGCCGCCGTTTAGGCAATAATCCCCTTCTCCAGAAATGCAGTTTAAATCCAGCCGATCGCCAAACTCCCGAACGAAGTCCACGAACACGGCAACTCCCGATCAGCCAAACAGTCGAACGCCTTCCACAGCTAGAAATAACGAAAGCGCTGTCCCAGTAATAATTCCCCCACAAACGAGACCAAGCTCCGTCTTGAGGGCCAAATGAAGTTCTGTTTAATGGGGGCTACCTGTCCGGTATTTATGCAGGTCTCCACAAGGTGGACACTCCCCGAGGGGACCTTGTGGAAGACTGTAAAACATATTGTACAGTAGCCAATCGCAGTGGCCTCAATACTAGCCCTTCCCATCTTACCCACAAATCCGTCTTCTCTACTCTGGAGATAATTAGGAAGAAACCTAATTATCTCCCAAGGTAGAGACAATCGCCATTTTAGTTTACAGTAACAAAAATATATTAAAATACATAACGACAGAAATACCGAATGCATATGGTTCGTGTAACGTATCCCCAGACAGCCTGGATCTGAGGGCATGTTTTCACCGAACAGCGCTCAGATCCGATGTATCTAGTCGAATCGCCATGGAGTCAAAGTCTTGCACCAGTCCTTCGGTATACGAATGACTCCATGGGATGGCTGTCGGGGTAAAAGTCCATACGAATGAATAAAACTCCCGAACGACCGACGTTCGCATGCCTTGTCGAAAAGGAAGGTAGGCAGCAGCTTTTCAGCGGTGTTCGGTAGTTTAAGTGTCCGTTTTTAGTTCCATACAGTTTGTACCGAACACCGCTCTGTGTTCGTATGTCCCAAAATGGCCGCTGCCTCGTGGTCGACATGCGAACGACGACCACCCATACGAATGGAATGGAGAGGTGTCTGCGGTTAACCACAACGTTCTAATTGGGGCCAAGAGGTTAACCAGCAGCACACTCCTCTCCTGGGTGGTCGTTCGTTCGGTAGTTTCAATCGGCATTTTGCAAATTGCACGAACGGGGTTATATGAACAGGCAATTCCGCGAACAAAGGGAAACAGACGAACCAACAATGCAGATGAATCTGTCACACTTGCCTGTCTTTGTAAGCTCAACAGTATATTGTAGTCAACGGCGTCATCTGTAAGAACAACTTGTAGAAAGGTATTACCTGTAGAGGGATGAACTTTGATTGCTGCTTGCTTGGCAGCTTCGTCTGCTTTGTGGTTTCCTCTTGAGATTTCATCTGTGATCTTCACGTGAGCTGCCACCTTGATGATGCCTACTTGAGTGGGTAGCAGGATAGCGTCCATAAGTGCACTCACGGCTTCAGAATTCTTGATTGGAGTTCCTGCTGAGGTGAGAAAATCACCAGCCCGCCATATAGGGCCAAAATCATGGGCTATACCAAAAGCATAGCGAGAGTCTGTATAAATATTAGCAGTCTTACCAGAGGCCATTTTACACGCTTCAGCGAGTGCCTTCAGCTTTTATTACTTCATGTGCAGAGACTACAGCATATCCAGTGTGGAAATTACCCTTCTCATCAGCATATCTGGAACCATCTACAAAAAACTCAAAATCTGCATTAGATAATGGAGAATCAAATACATGCAAAAAACCTGCTGTCTCTTGTGCCATTAGTGCTGCACAATCATGGGGTACCTGGGCATCAGCTAACTCATCTGGTGAAAGTGAATTTACAAAAAGATCAGAAGTACAACCATTCACACTATCCCCACTCCCCTCTTTTAAATCCAGGGGAAGCAATGTAGATGGATTTAACACCATACACCTTTTAAGAGTAACATTAGGTGGCATAAGCAAGGCACATTGCATTCTGAGATGCCTTGCAGTATGTATGTGTTTTGGTTGAACTTGTGAGAGTATGCTGTTGATATCATGTGGTGTGTATATGGTCACAGGATTATCTAGAACAATATCAGTGGCTTTGTCCAGGAGGGCAGTAACAGCCGCCACTGCCCTAAGACATGAGGGGGCACCCCTGGCAACAGGGTCCAATCTGGTGGAGTAGTATGCTATTGGTCTTTGTTTACCACCATGATCCTGTGTAATGACAGATGTAGCATAACCTGATTGCTCAGTACAGAACAGGTTAAAATTCTTTCTGTAATCTGGGAG